CATCCTGACTTTTAGAGCATCAAAAGATACAATAAAATGTCAGTATTTCTTTTGGAAAGGCAAATACTACATGATATAACAAGAACACATTTTCAAAGATACTATTTTATCGATTACAAGTTAGTGAAACCTAATTCAAAGTGACTTACAAAAAAAAAAAGTGGGGTTATATTGATTCCGTGCTGGCTTTAGACATGGTTAGATTCAGATGCCAAAATGCTATCAGAAACCTCTCTCTCTTTTCACTCTTGAAATCCCCTTTTATCTAAATTAACTTTATTTTCAGTCAGCTTCTTCCTCTTTCCATATATTGACAAGATAGCACTAGTGATATCGAGCTTATGTTCTACTAGATCACACGGTTACTTCCATCCCAACAGTTTCGCAGATCCTTAAGGCTCTTACTGGACCATCCTATGTCACGTGCTCAGTTCCAAATCAGTACATTGCTAAGAGGTGTGGGAAGTGTGATATGCAGGCTTAGGTCATGTTTCCACTTCTAAAGGCATTTGGAAGGTTGTCAGCCTTACCTAAAGTACATGTACTCAGAATGAGAGAATATTTCCTGAAGGCAAAGTGGAGTCTCTTGTCATAAGAGATGTCAGCTGACTGACTGAATGAGGTAATAGGTAACCACCGTTGATAGGAATAGCTTTAAAAAAGTAAAGCAGTGCATATGTAGTGTAAAACATGGAACCAAATAGAATAGTTCACACCATTAATTAGGCTATCTTAAACTATACTTGAGCTTCTTTTGCATTTATTTTAAGGTATGGCTTTATGAAATAATTCAGTAATTTTCCTGCCATGTTAATAAAGAATGATGCCTACAGACACTCTCATTCTTTTTTAAGACCATAATGAGTTGGAGTTCTTATTTGGCAAAGGAGTGAATGTGTTTTTCTTAATGCTTATTTTTAATTAGAAAAATGTCAATTTTAAGCCTACCTATTTGGTATTTTTAACTTTTGCGTAGCATTCCCAGTAGAGGTTCTTCTTTTGTGGTTGCAAATAAAGAAACAGTTGCTTTATTCCTTGTTTTCTAAAACAAGGAATTGGTATAATTATATTGTTAATGTTTTCTCATGTTTCTTTGATGTAACAGTTATAATCTAGGAACAAGGAAAATTTAAATACAATTCTTTTTCTTTTAAAATAATACCATTATTTAAGCAGATCATCATACTAAGATGGGTTTAGGTCTGAACAGGAACTCTCTCCAACACAGAGATAACAACAACCTGATAGGAAATGTCTGTAGTAAAGAATAGGATACTAATACTACTAAAATGAAATATGATCATCTCTCAAAGGTTTTCTTACCCCTTTTTCTTCCAGTTATGCTGTCTCCTTTGTACCCTTTATATATTTTTGTACCCACACTTTAGGACTTGACTGCACTGATACATTTACCCATCTATTTTCTGTAACTGATTTGAGAGTTCCATAAAGGCAGGAACAGTATCATCCTATATCCTTTATCTCTAGCTCCCAACACAGGGCATGGGTCACTTAATAAGCTTTCTATAAAAGATTGGGTGGATGGTAGCAACTATAGATCATATTTCTGAAGGCAAAAGTGATTTGCAAATGTCAGGAATATAGCTGATATAGCTGATACTTATTACACCAAATAATTGTATGCTAAGATACAACCTTTTTTTTTTCTCTCAGTTCTATAGAAATAAGAATGTATATGTCAGTATGCTAACAGAATGCATCAATGAAAATGAAGTCATAGATACAACTAAAATCAACTATTTGTCATCTCATTTGGGATGTAAACACTGTCAGTACACAGATTTTCCTTTAGGTAAAGGCTGTATTTCCATGTCCAAGAAGTAAGCAAGTAGGCCGTCTCACATAATTCTCAACACTACTTTTCTCATCCTTTACCCATTTTCCAGTTGCTCACCATCTTCAAGCTTCCACATTTGTGGTTCACGTCTTTATGGCTCTAATCTGGCACATAAAATGGAAACAGAACACTAGTCTCTCTGAGATACTATATTAAATGCAAATAAATTATATTTTCTTTTTGTCTCAACTTCTACCTTTCAGAGGGTCTCTTTCCTGTCTGTCAATTTTGGATTAATATTAAATGTGCAAAGAAATATGAATGTATTTTTTTAATCTTTCAGAGAATAAGTAGAGTAAGAGGTTTTTCATGTCATTATGTCAAAAATAAAAGTCGGGTCATATTCATTGGCTAGGCTACTAAGTATTTACATTTATTAAATTTGGAGTTTAATAAAAACTTACATCTACATTTTCTTTAATTTTCTATTTCTAAAGTCATTCATTGTAGACAAAATTATAACTGTCTAAAGTTAATAAATGCTACATTATAAATATTAATATGTAATCACTACTGTCTTCTATTCATACACACCTTCAGTTACATGTCGACGAATATCAGTTATATCAGTTATACCAGCAAAATTTGGAAGCTGCATCAGTATTTAATAAAATAACAAATATGGCTGACAGTATTTATTGAAGATTATGTCAAACATTAATAATTTAAACTAAAATCCAGAAAAGGTACTTACCACATAAAGACATCTTTAGAATAAAGATAAATGATGTGGTGTAATTCTTCAATTTACAAAAATATATATTTTTGGAAGATGTTTATCAAAAGTTCACATACTATTTCTGGAAAATATTTTAGTATTTTTGAATATTTAAAAGGAAAAAATGATTAAAGGGAAAAATTTAAAAAGGAAGGATGGGTAGTATGCTTGTATAAGTAACGTAAGTATTGTGTACACATTTGCAGTTCTTCTAGAAAGACAGAACTAGTCAATTAGTCCTAGAGTTAAAAAAAAAGTTATAGCTGCAGTAACTGGTGTGCAGTGTAGTAGAAATTAACAAAATCTTCACACAACTTATAGAGGCTTATTTTAGAGTGGATGTTATAAAATTATATGTTCCGTTACTTTTTATTGACAGTCTGTAGGATAGCTTCCATTAACCTTTCATGTGCTATTAGTCTCTTCCTGGGTTATAATCATGAAGGCAGTCATTACATTGAGCAAAACAATAGTAATATTAAATTTTTAAATAGCACTTTTGAAAGTCTTAGTTGAGTAATATGTTTTTCTTCATAAAAGATTACATTATAACACCTCAGTTTGTCAGTATATGTGTTTTAAACAATATATTATTGCAAAAATTTTTCTAATTTTGAAAAGAAATCATGATTTATAAAATATAATCATATTTACCATTCAGATTTGTAAATCCTTAAAAGTAAATTTTCTTAATATTTTCTGTGCACAATAAACTATAAGGATGATTCTAACTCATCTTAAGTGGTGTAAGATGTTTTCATGGTTTAACTTTCTAATTGTATTACATTAATATATTCCAATATTTCAGACAAATAATTTTCTACCAGAAAGTCTGAGAACAAAAAACCAATTGACTTGTTTAAAAAATTGTCTCTCAGTTGAGTTCTTGAACATGAATGAACTTAATCAGGGGAACAAGAGAGATATATTTGACATTCCAAAGGACTGTTTCTAGAAAATTTAATTTTTTTTAAGTAAAATGACATATAGACAAATTGTAATGAAACAAAATTCTACTGTGACTTTAATTTATATATATGGGAAGAAAAGTTGTGTGGGGTGTGTGTATATAATACGTGTAAATACATTTTTGAGGTAACCCATTCTAGAATTTGAGTTTATACTTTCACTGCTTGCTATCTTCCTAAAAATGCATGGCTCTATTTTTTTTTTTTTTAATTCTTACCCAAGTCTGTGTTTTAAAGACAGCATGGCAGTACTTGCTAAAAATTAACTAAGGAGATATCTCATAAAGTATCTCAACTAAATTTTTGCTGAAATTTCTGCCCATTTAAATGTCTGGGACAGGGAAAGCAGTTACTTCAGTGCTTTGTCAGTGATAGAACATTCACAATTTTTTATCTCCTGGTGAGTCATAAAAAGTGTCATGTATTTTTGTGCTACCAAAATATAATTTTAAATGTTAATATCTATATTTTAATTGAAAGGGTTATGGAAAATACCATCCTGGTTTTATACATCTTATAATAGTAGTCAATTATGATTAAATAATTTAAAACATGCTGAGTTTTGTGGCTGGATGTTTTGGTTCAAATTAGCTAAAGTGCCTATACTTCGTATGGTCACAGTGAATCATTGTGACTATTCATGTGACTGCAGTAACTTTTAATTAATTTTTGGCAATATGGCTGTAAGGTCTATTTTTTTAAATGTAGCTTTTGCTGCCAAAAAGAGAATTATCTACCTAATCAAAATAGTCATTTTACAAATTTAGATAGATGTAATACTGCTCTCAAATAGCCCCTAACCTACCTAAAAGCTACTGAATTTTTTTATATTACTAATTGTTTTGAGTTATTGTTAAGGTTACAAGTTGGTATCAGTTTAGTTGTAAAGCTAAAATACTACCTAAATATATTGCCCTTCATCACTGAAAATATTAGTCATGAAGTAAGGTATTGAACAACACAAAAATTACGAGGAACATGAAATTAATGTTTTAAAGGGACTCAAGGTAGAACTTGCCTACTTTTATCTTTACTAACTTTGGTTTATAATCCGGTGCTCTTTGTTTTTATATGTTTTAGAGCAAATATATTCTTGAAGCTAAGTAGGTGAATCATGAGCAGCATTTTGATTTTGGAGCTATGTAAATGTGACCATTGATGACATATTATGATTTCCTCTTTTTGATAACTTCTGCAAAATTCACAGTCAAGGAAAATTTTTGTTTAATAATCTAAAACTGAAAATTGCCTTTTCCTTTGAAAATTCTAAGTTCACAAAATAACTGTATTGCAATGTGATATTGGTCAATTTAGAAATTGTGGTATTTCTATCTTTCATAAATTATGTTTAAACTAATTTTCAGTTTACTATTTTACTTTTTGTAGGATAGCAAAGTAATATAATGTATGTGCGCAAAACAGAAGTATTATTTATACGTATTTTTTTTAATTACAGGTAAAGATTATAGTTCCCAACAGCACAGCAGGTCTGATAATAGGGAAGGGAGGTGCTACTGTGAAGGCTATAATGGAGCAGTCAGGGGCTTGGGTGCAGCTTTCCCAGAAACCTGATGGGATCAACCTGCAAGAGAGGGTTGTCACTGTGAGTGGAGAACCTGAACAAAACCGAAAAGCTGTTGAACTTATCATCCAGAAGATACAAGAGGATCCACAGAGTGGCAGCTGCCTCAATATCAGTTATGCCAATGTTACAGGTCCTGTGGCAAATTCCAACCCAACCGGATCTCCTTATGCAAACACTGCTGAAGTGTTACCAACTGCTGCAGCAGCCGCAGGGCTGTTAGGACATGCTAACCTTGCTGGCGTTGCAGCCTTCCCAGCAGTTTTATCTGGCTTCACAGGCAATGACCTGGTGGCCATCACCTCTGCACTTAATACATTAGCCAGCTACGGATATAATCTCAACACATTAGGCTTAGGTCTCAGTCAAGCAGCCGCCACAGGGGCTTTGGCTGCAGCAGCTGCCAGTGCCAACCCAGCAGCAGCAGCAGCCAACTTGTTGGCCACCTATGCCAGTGAGGCCTCGGCCAGCGGCAGCACCGCCGGCGGCGCGGCGGGGACGTTCGCACTAGGTAGCCTGGCTGCTGCTACTGCTGCAACTAATGGATACTTTGGAGCTGCTTCTCCCCTAGCTGCCAGTGCCATTCTAGGAACAGAAAAGTCCACAGATGGATCAAAGGATGTAGTTGAAATAGCAGTGCCAGAAAACCTAGTTGGTGCAATACTTGGAAAAGGAGGGAAAACACTAGTGGAATACCAGGAGTTGACTGGTGCAAGGATACAGATCTCCAAGAAAGGAGAGTTCGTACCTGGCACAAGGAATCGAAAGGTAACCATTACTGGAACACCAGCTGCAACACAGGCTGCTCAATATTTAATTACACAAAGGATCACATATGAGCAAGGAGTTCGGGCTGCCAATCCTCAGAAAGTGGGTTGA